AAATTACCAACGAGGATGTTTCAGGCAATCCGAGTCGATTGGATGGGTGAATAAAGAAGAGAATGTATTTATCAGCGTGAATAAGTAAATGTATCTAATTGTATACGAAAAAAATATGCGATTGCCTACTGGCTATTAGTAGTCACTTGAAGAACTTAGTGACAGAAATATTCCCAAATGTGGTTTTTCCTTTTGACAAATTTCCTAGAGGGGAAATCATGAATTATAAAAGATACTTTGACTTATGAGAAAGAACACTGTAAAGCAAACAATAGTATGATAAGAAATGTAATAAATAATAAAAAATAAATATTTTAACAGAATATTCGTCCGGGTATGAACTATATCAATAAATTGAACAATTCCATTAGTATTTATTTGAAAAGGGATTATTTGATCTGATTTTTAATAAGGAAAGAAAATTGTCTGATTGTTTCTGGGCTGCCTTTTCTCGATGAATTGATTAAAAGCGAGAGACAACATGGAGTACGACGGGGCTGAATAGAGCGAAAACGGACGGACCAGGAGCAGAATTTATTTTATTTTTTAATTTTTTTTTTTTTTTAATACTTCGTTGAATCGAAATCGTACGTATTTGTTTGTGAAACCCCAACACGGCAATTAATAGGCTAGTCTCGCCTACGCGAATTCAGGAAAAAGTGGGCTGACTTGAGAAATATTTCGACCTTAGTCGAAAAACTTCGTCATACTCTGCATTTGGTATGATTCGATTTATTCCTTACAAATCGGATAATTACGATCAAAAACAAAAACAAAGATCAAAATATTGTGTTTTGCTGTGTGTTTAGTGCAATATTCCATATTATTTGTGGGATTTGAATAACTTAAAAGCCTCCTTACGATTTCTCATTTCAGAATTAGATAAGACAATATTCTGTTTAAGTAAGTTTCATGTCAACAGTTCTTATCGAAAGCTAAGCGATGATAAAAATTCCTTTTACGTAATTAGTGAGATTTTTGTGCTTGGGTCTGCCTCACAAGTAATATTTTTGTTTATGCCTGACAAGTCAGAGAAACTGTAAAAAACCACCAGAAATGTGGATAATTTTTTTACAACAATGGAAGAGACAATTTTTATGATCACAAAACACATTTTTTCCACTATAATTTTTTTCCATATCAAATCAATCATTTTTGTCTCACTCTTTATATAAAAGAATAAAAATTTTTCGATGAAAAGATCAATAAATGTTTATAGCGTTTGTTTAATCAATAAGACGTTAGAATTTATATGACTATAGTTTGCCCTATCTGAGTACATAACATACTTATGCAATTTCTTTTATTTTAATTTCTGTTTTCCTCGACTTCCTATTTTTAAACGGTAATTTAATGTTTAAACAAACTTTTTTTTACAGTTTTTAAATTAACAATATAACCAATGATATTAACGTGAAAAAAAAAATCTTCACAACCTCGATGACCGCTGTCCGGCTTTTTCTTCGCCTCAGGCTCACATCACTTTCAACTCGCACTCGCGCACTGGTCGAATTTTGCGGGAAGAAGACCCACTCACGTCGTTAGTACTAGGACAGTGGCTCGATATGACTAGATGTCATCAAAGCAGGCGGATTGACTGCACGGTATGAAGAGTGCAGCACGTTCCGACTCGAATCAATTCAAAACGGTTCTTGCCCATATTAATTCTCAGACGGGAGATTTAGATTCCTGAGTGAAATACCATGGAAAACGTAATTTAAACTGAAACTCCCCTCAAAATCATTTTTACTTATTAATTTTTCCATTTATGTGTCAATTTCGTTTATCTAGAACAGCTTAATTTGAATTTTCAAATTTTTTGTTCCCTATACACATGTATTAGGCCAGCGAATAATAGAATATTTATTTATTATGATACACAATCAATCTAAAAAAAAAAAAAAAAGTTTCCCGTATGTCCACTTAATATCGTTATACTTTACTTACTTGGAAATCTAAATTTCTTGACAAAGTTAATTTATGAACCATAAAAAAAACCGTCATAATAGTTATTTTGTATTTGATGATTGTTTTAAAATGTGTATGTTTTCAGCTGGATACACAATATTTTGCATGACCATTTAAGCTTGACAAGGTACGATCAGACTAGGGATAAGGAAGAGACAGGGTTAGGGTTAGGCTTAGGGTAAGGGTCGTGTAATTTATATAAAAAATCAGGGTTAAAGCTTAATATTATGCACAATTATAAAAGGGACGTGTAATTTATATAAAAAATCAGGGTTAAAGCTTAATATTATGCACAATTATAATTTTAAGTTTGATATCCATCACATCAAAATAGTTATGGAAGAGTTAGGCTAGGTTAAGGTTAGGTGCTAGGTTAAGTAAGAGTTAACATTATGGTAAGGGATGGCTAATTCTGTATAAAACAGCATGAATAAGGCTTCATATTATATACAATTATAATATTGAGGCTGATATCAATCACCTCAAAATAGTTAGGTACGAGTTAGCCTAGGTTAAGTAGGGTTAAGGTTAGGGATGAGCTAGATGAGGTAGGAGTTAACATTATGATAATGGTACTTGACCATACTACTGATAACACATCAAATTAATATTCAAGTAGTCAGTACCTTCTCTTCAATAATTTATTTGTTTAACAAGCAGCCACACCATTTTTTTTTTTACAAAAACTAATGTAACATAAAATATACAATAGATAGAAAAGTACAGCTATAAAACCTAGAAAAAATAAGAATAAAATATAATAATCTAAGAAATTAATAATCAAATTATTTTGATAAAAATAATAACCATAACAACAATAAATCTCAAGGAATATCAAGTATTCTGGGGTAGTGTTAATGATTTGTGTTGTGTGGATGTAATTTATTTATTTATTTGTATAATTGGCTAAACAATACATTATCATTATGAAATATACTAACATGAATTTTTACAATTTTTATTTGTATTAGCATCTAAATATTTAAAAACAACATGAATCACCTCCTTTTCTTCATTCTTCCTTTTCTTTTTCCCCGTTTCCATTTTTTCTTTCTGCTTTTCTTTGTGATTTCATTGTTCAATTATAAATAATTAATATTTAAAAATATAGTATTATTATTTTGTTTTGTATGTTTTATTATTTAACTAAGTCTATAAAACTTTTTTTATAATATATGTACATGTAAGGGGCCTATTTGGACCATTATAATAATACATCAAATTAATATTCAAATGTCAATTCCTTCTCTTCAATAATTTATTTCTTTAACAAGCAGGCACACTTTTTTCCCCCTTACAAAAAGTAAATAGATAGAAAAGTACAGGTATAAAACCAAGAAGAAATAAGAATAAAATATAATAATATAAGAAATTAACAATCAAATTAATTTGACAAAGTAATAATCATAACAAAACCAGCAATAATTCTGAAGGAATTTCAAGTATTCTTGGATAGTGTTAATAACTTGTGTTGTGTGTATGTAATTTATTTATTTGTATATTTGGCTAAACAATAGATTATCATTCTCCTGCTGCTGTCAACAGCTAGGTAATTTATTTATTTAATTTTATTTGTTAAATAAAATATAAGCCCTGATAAAACTAACCTAGAAGCCTATGTTAAAAGCTTTTGAAATTTTGTTTTTATGTACTCCTTTGATCATACTACTGATAATACACCAAATTAATATTCAAGTGGTAAATACCTTCTCTTCAATAATTTATTTTTTTAATGAGTAGCCACGCCAATTTTTTTTTTTTTACAAAAACTAATGTAACAGAAAATATACAATAGATAGAAAAGTACATGTAGAAGAAATGAGTATAAAATATAATAATATAAGAAATTAACAATAAAATTATTTTGATAAAAGTAATAACCATAACAACAATATCAAGTATTCTGGGATACTGTTATTGATTTGTGGTGTGTGCATGTAATTTATTTATTTATTTGTATATTTGGCTAAACAAGAGTTTATTATTATTTTAACAATATAGTAGTATGAATTTTTTACAATTTTTATTTGAATTGGCATCTGAGTTTTTAAAAACGACATGAATCATCTCCTTTTCTTCCCTCTTCCTTTTCTTTTTCCCTGTTTTCTGTAATGGCATCTGAATATTTTCATATGTTTTTTCCTTTCTACTTTCCTTTCTTGGTGGTTTCATCATTCGATCAATTAAAATTTAAAAAATATGTCATTGTCATTATTGTTTTGTATATTTTGTTTTATTATTACTATTGCTGTTATTATTATTTTATTATGTTTATAAAACTTATTTGGTTAGTAATTATGTCTTTCATTTTTGTTGTTCAGTTTTTACTCTTTAATTGTATTTTTATATTTATCATTTATATTTACCATTTATATTATTACCATGTATATATGTTCTTATTCTTTTTACATATATTATTTGTATTTTTTTGTTATTGCAAAATGTCTTTTTTTATAGTGAATTTCGATCCATAAATAAATAAATAACAATATAAGAAATTAAGAAATAGTGTTGTGTGCATGTAATTTATTTATTTATTTGTATATTTCGCTTAACAATAGATTATATTTTTGACAATATAATAATATGAATTTTTCCCATTTTTATTTGTAATGGCATCTGAATATTTTCAGATATTTTTTCCTTTCTACTTTTCTTTCTTGGTGGTTTCATCATTCGATTAATTAAAATTTAAAAAATATATCATTGTCATTATTGTTTTGTATATTTTTGTTTTATTATTACTATTGCTGTTATTATTATTTTATTATGTTTATAAAACTTAATTTATTTATAAGTACATGCAAGGTAGCATAAAGCCTCTATTTGTACCTTTAAAATAAATATAAACAGATTGATATTTGCACTCAATCATCATAACAATTGTCATTTTTGTTTTGATATTTGTTGAAAAATGACACTAAATATTTCTTATTGTTTTATGTTTTGAAAGGGAATTGAATTGTCGATAGATTGATTATTTAATTTCCCTAAATTGTGTATTTCTCTGTTGTCAATTCAAGCCTGGGTTAACCCCCTTTTGCCTGTAATCCCTCCCGTTTTATGCACGACGCCTATTACAGCTCTTTTCTAGCTGTGAGTGCTGTCATCGTTGCCATAATCGTTATCAATTTTCAGCTTTTTTTTCCTTTCTCATTTCTGTTTATCTGTGAACGACCAGTGACGATACAACAAGGCAAACATGCTGGACAGTTAAGTCCATCCCAGTTGGAAAATCAATCATAATCAATCAACCCAGCATTTATTTTTTTTTTTTTTTTTGACAATTCATCTTGCAATTAGTGGTAAAGTAAGAAACAGTAAATCTAAAATGATTGGGTCGTTAAAAATCAGTTTAAAATGCGATCTGAGACTGTTAGAGGAAGTAATAACCTAGATAAAAACATGAAACATTAACATGAACCGACCTGAAAGCCTGGTGAACGGTTCGTCCGGCAATGCAGAGATGCCGATTGCCGGGCGTAAACCCATCGTGACTTGTAAGTAAACCGTCGTGTCTGACTGTCGAGAGGTTTTAATTTTTCTTTTTTAACGGCAGATGCTGGGGATAAGGAACTTTTCATGAGTTTGGAGAATACGCTGTCGACCGCCCTGCCCAACGAGCCTGCCGAATGGAGGAGGTCGTACGGCCGTGCGATTAAACTTGTCAACGTCTCGGCGACATTTGTGCCGTTTACAAAACATGTACTGCCGAAGGAAGGAGATTATCGCTTAATTGACCAACCGATGTTTCACACCTATTGGACTCAATGTTCTGTAAGGATTTTATATTATAATTCTTCCTTTTCATATCTATTAAACTGCACTTGCTTGATATCTCAATGTCACTAGAAATAAAACAAAAGATCTTGTCGCTTTGTACATTTTCATTTTGCTCGTTTTCACTGATGATTGTATGATTTGCTTTAAAAGCTTGCCTTTAAAGACAGTTATACCCATCTATGCTCTTAGCTCAATTTATTTTGTATCTTCGTCACTTCTGATCATTAAGAAATGCCTTTCTTTGGCATCTAAACAACGAAAATGATCGGAAAAGACCATTCTTTACGTTCATTAGATGAATCTCCAGAGGAAGTCTCACAATATAATTATTTCTTGGAATTGCGGCAAAGCAGTTATGTTTGTCAAACTTCATTTGCAAAAGATTCAATACAACTTTATGGAACATACAGCAAAAATAGACGTGTTAAGATGATCAAGGATGATTAAACTTTATTGCATACCTGTAGACAAAATGTGACGAGTTCAAGCATGATTTTTTTATTTTATTTGATTTATTTACAGTCCAAACAGTTCAGGTACCCAAGCACAGGACAATCAAGCTTCATTGTCTTCAGGTCACTGCCAGTCATTTTAGTCTCAATATCCTTGCCGTTTTGGTCTGTCAGATATATTTGGACTTCTCAGCATCATTATTGCTTGGACTATATGGCAAGAAGTTGAAATGCACAACTTAACAGAAGACTTGAACAAAAAATCAAAATCCGCCTTGACCGTCAAGCCTCAATTAATGTTACACGGCTTTACTGCGACCACATTAGAAATATGGAGTGAAATGTGGGGTTCTGCCAATCCATCAAACATCCACGTATCCAATCCTACCGACTGAAAGCCCCCACCTCAAAGAGAAATCTCACAATTCTCACATAAAATTATTTCTTGAAATTGTGGTCAAAACATAGTCATGATTTGCCGCAGTTCATTACCAAAGCTTCAACACAACTTTATGAAGCATAAAGCAAGAATAGATTTGTGAGGATGATCAAATATTATAAAAAGTAGCAGATCAATAGACAAAATTTCTCTGTGTGACAAATTCAGTCATGATTTTTTTTGTTCAATAACGATCATTTTGGTTCCAGTATCCTTGCTCTTTTGGTCTCTTAAATACATGTGGACTTATCATCGTCATTACTGCTTGGTCTATGTGATAAGAAGTCGAAATGCATCTTACAGACCAAAACAGTGAAGATAGCCAGACCAAAATCACAAATGACCAAAGTACAAGTTCATCACCTCGAGAAAAATTAGACTTCTTGTCATCATCAGTGCTTGGTCTATGTGGTGAGATATTGAAAGGCCTCTTACAGACCAAAACAGTGGGAATAACCAGGCCAAAATTGCAAGCGACCAAACATTCATCACCTCTCAAATGTCAAGAAGAAATCTCCATAAAATTTTGGTCAAAACATCATGATGGCCAAAATTCAATTTGCAAAATGTTCAAAAAAATTTCAAAATAATAGATGAAACTTCAATGTGTGACAATTTTAAGCATGATTTTCTTTAGTTTAGTCAATGCAAATCATTTTAGTTTTACTTTGCAGTTTTGGGCCCTCAGGCATATTTATTTGCCTTAAATTGTCTGGTTTATTTGTTAAATTTTGGACAGCAGTTGATGGGTGAAAGGTCAGTTGTAAATGAAAAGTAAGGTGGAACTTNCTTTGAACTTGTTTTGCCATTTTTATCAAATTTTTCTCTCACAAAAATAAATAAATTTGTTATTCGTTTTAAAGAAAACCTCTTTTATAATTTTATTTCGTTAACTTTGCTGGTTTGTGTTAAATTTTGCATACTGATTGATGTTTGAAAGGTCAATTTTTAAAAAAAGTATGGTGGTACATAGGACAAAACCTTGTGCTATTTTTATTTTATTTTATTTATTTTTTTAAGAAAAATGCTTTTTTACTCTTGTCTTGAAAAGTCTGTTTTATGTGTTAAATTTTGAACTCTAGTTGATGTGTGAAAGGCAATTATAAACAGAAAGTGTGATGGGACATAGGACACAACCTTGTGTCTCCTTACAATTATTATGTAGTGCTCATTTAATTCAAAAATATATTTGAAATTATTATATTTTGTTTCCCCCCTTTGAACTTGTTTTGCCATTTTTATCAAATTTTTCTCTCACAAAAATAAATAAATTTGTTATTAGGATGTTGACATATATAAATCGACTGTAAGAGAAGAAATAGAGAAGTGGATGAAGGATTTGTCACAGTACAATTTAATGGACTGGATGATAGTTGTGGTCGAAGCGTACGACTTTAGAAAAACCAACAAACTCCTTCCGAGGGCGACCGTGTACGACAAGGTGAAAAGCGATTACGGTGCAAAACACGCCGACAGGTGTCTAAGCGTTATCAACCCTTTGAAATCGGAATCACGCTCGGCTGGCTCGTGGAGAGGGCTAATTGTAAATATGAGACTCCTTTTGCTAACGGCTTATGACCGAGCTTTGCTCAAATTCGAGGAGATTATAAGAGACCAGAGGGAGAAGCGGAACCAAGTTGGTTGGAGTTTCACTAAATATTTCTTGCTTCAGGTAATCTTTACTTTATTTTTAAAATTGTGTTTGTTTTATTTGTATAAAACCGGAAGGAGAACAATTGCTTTATGCTTAGAACTGCTTCTTGGGATATTAGTTCTTTTTTTTTTTTATTGTATGGCTTTTTTTGCTAATTAAATTATTTTACAAGTACAGGAAGAGCTTGCGTTTGTCTTGGAAATGCTTGGGGTTTATGAAGAAGCTCTGGTTCAGTATGACGAACTCGATGCGCTTTTCACACAGTTTATTTTAAATTCAAGCCTAGGAGGTATGAAAAGTCAAACTTTGTTGTTGATGTTGTTTTTTACTCATAAAAATAAAAAAAATTTGCGCTTCATCTATTTCAGAAACTCCAAATTGGCTCGGACAGTTTCAGTCGACTCTTGACTCTTGGGACGGCGTGAGAATGTCGTCCGGGATCAACATGAAAGAAAGGTCGAGAATCGAGAACGACTCAATTTCCCTTCTTCAGTTCAGAAATTATTTGTTCTCGAGGCAGTGTGCAATGCTGATTTGCGTACGGAAACCGTCAGAGGTTATAAAAAATTATAAATATTTGGGTTTAGTTTCTTTTCTTTAAACTAATTTTGTTAAAACTTTTTCATTTTAGATTGCAGAGAGGACGTTGCCTTTTCTTCATAATACGATAAGAGAAATGTCAATGCTTGATGTATCATACACCCAGGGTGCAATCGCATGTTGGGTCTACCTTTCATGTATGGAAGTATTAGAAGCTTGCGGCAGATTTTCAGAGCCCAATCTTATAGAAAAGTATTCAAAATTTACTGCCGGCATTTTATCATATGCTCGTGAAAAGGCAAGTACTTCGTAACTGTTATTAATTTTCTTATGATCATTTCATTATAAAAAAAATTTCTTGCATTTTCTTCAGTTGGCGGAATTAGGCGAGCTTTGCGGCCTTTTGCCGAAGCAGGTCCAAACTAGTGAACAGCTCCACATTTCTGTACAGATTTTTTCCGGGCTCAGCGACGATTTTACAAAACCTGTCGAAAAGCTTAAAAAAGCGTTGTCGTCTCAAGAAGAATTCTCGATACAGTATCTTGTATGTTAATTTCTTCTAATTTTTACTCTCGTTTTGTTTATATATCTACATTTTTTTTTTTAAATTAAATTTTAACAAAGGGCATATCAGAGCTCGCAATGGGAACGTACAAACACATTGGAAGGGTCAGATGTGCGAGGAGTTTGGGTTTCGACCTGGCAAAATATTACTGGTGCAAAAAGGAGTATAACTCATCTATAGTTTATTTAAGAACGGCTTTGGACTGCTACGAAAATGATGGTTGGAAACAGCTAGCTGCCAATACCAGACTCCTCCTTGCAAAATCGTATTATCTTGTTGAAAATTTTCGAAAGTAAATCTAACTTTATTTCAAAGAGCAACAAACAATATGGAATATTATACTTTTTAAACTTATTTACAGATATACACAGATGTGCCTTTATATAGCTTGTACACAGGAAATCGAATTGAAAGACAGGTTGAAGCATTATGAAGACATGCTGAAAACACTTAGCTCTTCAAAACCAGGTAATATTAAAAGCACTGTTTTTTTCTGGTGGGTCTGTGTGCTGATTATAAACAGGCCTAACGCTGAAGATGACAAAATGACAAAGCGCATCTGACTGATCGGTAACGACCTAAGTTCATCACCCCACAGTCCTCAAGAGAATCTCTAACAATGAAATTATGGGAATGCAACATGGTCAAAACAGTCATGCCTGTCAAAGTTCATTTGCAAATGATTCAGTACAACTTTACGAAACAAAAAGCTTCATAGAATGACATGTTCTGACATGAATTTCTTTAGTCTGATCATTTCTGATCATTTTGGTCTGTCAGGAATCTTTTCATCAGCGCTGGGTCTATGTAGCAAGAAGCTGAAACATATCTTACAGAGCAAAAAAGTCTGCAGACAAAGAGATCAGAAATGATTGTACTAAAATTTCATCACATTGTAGACCCCTTAAGGAAATTTAATGATTTTCTTTATCTATAATCCTCTCCAACAACAACAAATTGATAAAAATAACAAAAAGCATCATGGTACAAAATATTAATAAGTTCAAATATATTTTCAAATGCAACTAATATTAATTATTCAAGGTGTATCACAAGGGTGTATCCTAAGTTCCACCTTACTTTTTGTATACAATTGATCTTTCACACATCAGTTTCTGTCCAAATTAAACATATCAACGTGACAACTTAAGAAAAATAAAAGGGATAATTAGATTAATTATAGAGAGAATTAAAATTATAGGTTTTGGTCCCTCACACGTGTTTTGATTTCTCGTCATCTTCAGTGCTACTTGTTGTCTTTTTGTTATTATGTTGTGTCGTTTTTGTTTGACAAGAGTCATTAATGTTTAGACCCTCCTTGGACGGCTAACATGAACGACTGCATGTCATTTACTGTCGGTGAAATCCAAGTTGACCAGAGGACGTCAACGGTGTCAGTGCCTGTCACCGTCAAGTCTAACTTCCCTTGCGATATAAACTGCACTTCCATTTCTCTAGCCGTAATGCCTTATCTGTCGTCGACGAATGTAAATTCGTATAGAAACAGCCCCGAAATCAGCAGAAAGTATGACAATTTTGAGAAGAACAGAATAATGTTTAAATATTAATTGTTTTTTTAATCTTTTTACTTTTAGAATAAGAAAAACAAGAGATCCTTCGCAAGCTTCGGTCCTTCAAAAAATACCTTTATTTGTTCATCTCGTTTACAAACAGGATAGAAATCTCTCGAGTGCAAATATTGATGTAAGAGACCCAAATATGCTACTTTTAAATCTAAGGTAAATTTCATAGAATACTTTATTATTTTTAAAATAATCTCCCAAATGCAAGCTGTCATTTGTTTAATTTTTGTTTAAAGGAGGCAAGAAAGTGTTAACGTAAAGCATCGCAAGCTTAAATTTGACTTTACTAGATCTTTATCGGCAAAAGATGTACAAATTAAGCCCGGTGAGAATAAAATCACTCTTCAGTCGAAGGTAATTTTTTTTTAACGTTAAACAGTATCCAGGACAAGATGATTAAAAGAGTAAAACTTATTTTTAAGTCATATGAAGCTGGCAATTATAAATTAGGACCGTTCAAAGTAATCCTCGGAAATAGTTTCGAGTTGACGACGCTTCCTTTGAACTACAAGACACACTTCGAAGTTACGAAAATCCTTCCCAGCATCAAATTGACACACAATGGCGATCTTTTGGCCGGACTTGAACAGACGGCGATATTAAACGTTGCTTCAAATGGGTACAGAATATCAGAAGTACGTGGACAAATCAAACTAGTACTGGTTTTATTATATATTTTACGTGCTAGTTAAGTTTAATATGTTAATGTTTTTTTTTTTTTTTTTAATTTAGGGCAGTGTTTTATCATTAAGTGCGACCGATGGTTTACTACTTCAAGAGTCGGGCACTACTGCTGCTTTATCGTCTCAAGTTGATATCCAGTTGCCTGAAGTTTTCCCGAATAGTACTTTAAAGATACCGTTATCTCTTTATGCAGAATTGCCCACTTTCAGAGGAACAAACACGATTGAACACAGCGTATGTACTTGTAAGGCTCCATCCTCCTGTATAGTTTAATTTATATTTATTTTTAGATTATAATACGAGCACCTTGGACAGAAGATGAATGGACCATACCGTTAATACTCCAGCCTGCTCTTTCAGCCAACCTTCGCCTCCATACGGCCAAGATGGACAAATTTTTACTTGTAAACGTTTCCGGGCTGAGCGCACAAGTGCTGCGAGTACACAATCCATCTCTGGTGATATTGAGACCGCATGGTATCGCTTTATCACCTTTCAATCCTCCTATAGTGCCTACGTTGTTAAACGATGAAAGGAAAATCAGCTATATTTGGAAAATCGAACCATCAGAACTTAAGGAAATAGCTTACGTAAAGACTGAATTCTCTTTATATTATGAGCCTGTCGAAAGCGATTCTAAATCACCGTTTCTTTATAAATGTACATTTGATATCAATAATTTTTTGGTAAGTATAATTCTACCATATAACCTGTACCATAATTTTTGTTTTAAATTTCCTATAATTTTTTGTGTTTTAGACGATGTATATCGTAGACTGTAAGGTCGATCCAATCCGTGGTTCCGAGTTCTGCAGGGTGAATACTGTTTGCCACCTTTTGATAAAAATAAGTAAAACGCATATGGGACAGGATACGAGCTTGATGTACGAAGTGCAAGCCGAAAACAACATGTGGGTTGTTTGCGGAAACAGTTCAGGTAACATGTCAAAAGCTGCAGTAAAGTTTTAACATAACGTCAATTTTTTTCTTCTCCTTCTTCAAATATTTTGGTGGTTGTGTTTTTGTTGAATAGTTCTGACGTAGATGAGATTTTGTTAAAATGTATTTAAGTTTTTGTTTGTGGCTACGTTTGTGTGGTAATAGCCAATTGGTATGTAGTTTAGTTTTTGCTGGAGTTTGCCTTTAATTTTAGCACAATGTACATTTTGGACAATTAGAGGGAATTGCATTAAAATAATAATAATAAACTATGTGTTGAGACACAAAGGAGTATATTTCCGAAGATGGTGGATTTAAAACCCATCCATGACATGGACTTTTTTATCTCTAATTTCATGTTTAAAAATTAATTTCATTTTTACTACATAGCTTTTAATGCAGAATTAGTAAGGACTTGTTGATGTCCGTGTTTTTGTTGTAATAGTCAGTTGATTGGTAATTAAGATTTTTTGTTGGCATTCTCAATTTAATCCTTTGTTGGTGGCTATTTTTTTTGTTGTAAGAGTCAATTGATAGGTAGTTATGTTTTTGTTGCTGGAATTGTCAATTTGTTTTACTAATCAATTCTGGTTTAATCAGGTCTTTCTTTATGGCAATGTTTTTGTTGTAATAGTCAGTTGATAGCTAGTCACGTTTTTACTCATGGAAAGCCTGATCTATTTTGTCAGTGAATTTAAGCTGACAGCAGCCTTGTCTTTTTGGACAATAAATGTAAGTCTTTACTGACGGCAGTGCTGTCTATTTAGTTCATAAATTTAAGTCTTTATTTATGGCTATGTTTTAGTGGTAGTAGTCAATTGGTATATAGTTTAATTTTTGCTGTTCGTAGCCATTAATTTTAGCACAATTTCCATTTGAACAATGAGAGGGAATTGCATAAAAACAACTATGAGATGGAAAGTTGTAGTTCTAAAAATGTTGGGTTCAAAACCCATCCGTGACATTGACTTTTTTATATCTAATTTCATGTTTAAAAATTAATTTCATTTTAGTTACATAGCTTTTAATTCAGGACTAGTAAGGACTTTGTTGGTGTCCGTGTTTTTGTTGTAATAGTCAATTGATTGGTAGTTAAATTTTTGTTGCTGGCATTGACTTTGTAGTACTAGTCAATATAACAGTTAATTCAGGACTAATTACTTTTTTGTTGGTAGGAATGGTTTTATAGACCACTTGGTGACTGTAATATTAATTTGTATTCAAAGATTTTTTCATTTTTACTGTATAGCGTTTTGTTCAGAATTAGTAAGGACTTTATTAGTGGCAATGTTTTTGTGGTAATAGTCAATTAATAGGTAGTTTAGTTTTTGTTGTTGGTAGCCATTAATTTTAAAACAATGTGCATTTTGGAGAATTAAAGGAAATTGCATTAAAAACAAAACTATGTGTTGAGACAGAAAGAGGTATATTTCTAACAATTGTTTTATAGACCCACTTAGGGACTGTAATATTAATTCATATTCAGAGATATTTTGTTGGTCAGTTTTTAATATATATATTTTTTAAATTAATTTATTTATTCTTAATAAGGTTTGCCAATTGAATAAGTAAGTAGTAAGATGAAAAAATAAAACAAATTATATTAGTATAAAATGAATATAGTGCAAAATGGATGGCAACATACAAATACTTATTGAAATTTATTTTAAAAAAATCAATATTGGATAAATAGTAATACCATTTTTGCAGATGTACTCTCTTGGTCTGATTCTGTTGAAGAGCGCACAGTCACATTGGAAATAATGCCACTTGTGAACGGTTATTTGCCCCTCCCCGTTGTCAAGCTCTCCAAATATATACTGACCAATCCTAAATTCCATTATGGGCCAAATACTAGTAAGTCTTGATTAATCTTTAAAAATGTGTAATTTATTAATATTATTGTTTTTGTAATATAGGCCCAAGAGGTGAATTCAACAGAAGATTGGAACCGTTCAGCTGTGGCCAGATATATAATGTAAGCAAGGGGGCTCAGGTGCATGTCATAGCCGCTGCCACACCCCAGGACATGTAGCAGAAGTTTACTTTCTTCATACAGACCAGCTGACTATAAATGTCAGCATCGTCTATAATCAAGAACAAATATATTCGAAAAAAGAACAGGTAATTTACGTATCAAAACACAAGTGTTCTACTGTTGTAGAAAGAAAAAAGAAAATGTTTTGTTATTTACCAAAGTGCCATTTTGTTTTATTTTATTTATCAAGAATTGTTTATTTCGTGCAATAAGTTTAATCGACAGCAGTGACATATTCAAATATAATAATTTCAAGCGATTCGTTATATGTACAGCTTTATCATGTCACAAATAGAAAAAAATATATTTTAATTTATTAACAATAAAATAGTTTATACTCGTATTTTTAATGTGTAAAGCATGTCTGTATAAATCGGTAGATTGGAATGTTATGATTTTGTGATATATTGGAGATTAGTAGTGTATTCACTTTTCTACTCGGATTGCGAAAGGTGTCATAAATTAATCAAAAAAACATTTATAGCATACTTTGCATAGTTAACATAGGAAAATTATTGTACTCGGCTAGTTTTAGAATCGTAGGCAATTTTTCAGCACAAAGTTTGCCTGCCGAAAAGCCATTATTTAATTTTATTAAATATATGTAACAGTGGCAAACGTACATTTTGCGTTATCTGTTATGGCATTTTTATTTTGTATTTATTTTATTTTATAGGGGTGAGTCAATAAAAATATCCATTTTCAATCTCTTATTTATTTTTAAAAATCCTTCCAATGTTATTGTTACTGTATTTAATTTTAATAATTGTTATTTTAAATAGCACTATCATGTGCTATTTATGTCTTGGCTTGTTTTATGAAATAAATAACTTTTGATTTTTTATTTTCTTATCACATTATATATTTCTTTTACCTTATTCTTTAAAAACTTAGGTCTTAAAGGGCTGGTAAAATAAAGTATGTTGAGGGATAAGTCTTGACACCTTGAAAGAGAAAAGGCTAGATGGACTTATTCTTGTGTTTTAAAAAAAATTAAGCATAACTTACAAATAACTTAAAAGTTGTATTAATAAGATAATAAACTTAAATTTTGGCCTTGTAGTTTAACATGATGAATACAAAAAAAAATGATATAAATATTAAAGTGTAAATAGTAAGTAAACTATTGCAATGTTCATTGTAATAGTCAATTGATGTTAAAGTTAAGTTTTTGTTGGTGGCAGTCTGTTCAATTTATTAAGTGTTGTTTAATTTAAGATTTGTGGTGGCAGTGTTTTTGTTGAAATAGATTGGTAGGTTATGTTTGTCTTCGTGACTTTGTCAATACTGGTTGTCAATTTAAATCCATGGATTTTTGTTGAATTGTCAATTGATTGGGTGTTTAAAGGTTTTGTGGCTGGCATTGTAAATTTAAATCTTTTTTGGCGTCCTTGTGTTTGTCATAAATAGTCAATTGATTGAAAGTTAAGGTTTTTTTGCTGGCATTGTCCAATTTAAATTTTTTTTGTGACCATGTTTTGTTGTAATAGTCCATTGACAAGTAACTAAGTTTATGTTGGTGGCACAGACAATTTAAGTCTTTATTAGTGTCCATGATTTTAGTGTAATATTCAATTGATAGATAGTTAAGTTTTTGTTGCTAGAATTGTCAATTGTAAATTTAAGTCTTTATTGATAGGTAACTGAGTTTATGTTGGTGACATTGATAGTTTAAGTCAATGTTGTTTGTTGTTTGTCAGTTATTATTTATTTATTTTTTTATATATATTTTTTTTAAAGTCAATTGTAGTTAAGTTTTGGTTGCTGGCATAGACACATAGTCAATAATGCCTAATTTAAATCTTTGATAGTGGTAAATTTTTTGTTGTAATAGTCACTTGATTGATACTTAAATTTTGGCAGCCTGGCCTATGTATCAGTCAATAAGTCTTTTTTGGTGTCCATGTTTTGTTGTAATAGTCACTTGATAGACACATAAATTTTATTTGTGGCAGCCTGGCCTATTTAGTTGGTCAATTTAGGTTTTTGTTGGTGTCCATTTTTTTGTTGTCGTAGTCAATTGATAGACACATAAATTTTATTTGTGGCAGCCTAGCCTATTTAGTTGGTCAATTTAGGTTTTTGTTGGTGTCCATTTTTTGTTGTTGTAGTAGTCAATTGATAGGTATTTAAGTTTTTGTTGGTGACTTTGACAGTTTAAGTCTTTGTTGGTGTCCTAAGTAATAGTCAATTGATAGGTAGTTAAGATTTTGTTGCTGGAATTGTCAATAATGGTAAATCTTTGTTGGTGGCAGAGTTGTTGTTGTAATAGTCAATTGATTGCTACTTAATTTTTTACCCAGCCAAAAAAACTAATTTAAGACGCACAAAGGATAAGCAGGGACTGTCATTGATTTTATTTAACATAGCACTTAATTAATACACATCCAAGCGAGTCTGTATGTTTTTTTGGCGCACTGTTAGTACAAGGTCTCCAAATTCACACCATCACTCAAGAAAGTAACTTAGGTATATTTCATACGAATTTCTGCTTTTTACTTTTCCATTATTTTCTTGCAATGTTAGAAATTATTCTTGTTTGTTAATGTTGTAGATGGAAACAAAGGTATGCTTACAATACTTTATTGTCTGTGCGTACATAACAAAATTTAATACACAAAAGAAAAAAGTATATATACAGACTATTTACAAATGTATGACACAAAGTTTGTTCATCATGTTATTCTCGGTTTATATTTAAAGTCCAGATTGATAAAAATACACAGCGATGATAGGCAAAACCAGGTTTTTTTTGTTTTTTGTTTTTTTTTTGGAAGAACTGGCAAATTTTTCATCTAACAAAAAGTTTAAAAATTAAACAAAAACCAAGGCTACAAATTAAATATAAAAGTCTATATTGTTAAAAAATTCAAAAGTCGTGTTATTTTGGTGACAATAAGACTAGCTTTGTTCCAAAACAGTCCAAATATGCCTATCTTGTTCAGTTTTGTTCAAATAGCCAATATTAATGTCCTTAGAAAATATACATTGCGGAACATTTATAAACACAGAAATGAACTTATAGTGTATATGTTTCTTTACACTTAGACTTGTCCAGTTTTTAAAAAATGCCAATTAAAAATTATAACTTATGGAATTGTTTATTGATATTTATTCTTCCACTTTGGCTAGTTGGTATTAGTCCATTTCCCCCCACAAATTTCTCAGCCTTTGAAGAACTTTCTCTTGAGATAACTTTGTGAGATCATATGAGAATCCAATATTAATCCATTTCATAAGGATTAAATTGCTTGTAAAGCCATAATTTCGTTATAGAGCAGTTCTTGTATTTTTAATCTTATGTATAGATTTCTTGTCGTAGGTAGACACCTCAGTTGGGGAAGGATGCTCATTAAGAAATTATAGTCATCGTCCTCTTCTATATTCGCTGAACTGTAATGGTTAGTGATTTCTTGTTCGTCTTGCAAATTTTTGAAAATCACCTTTTCTTCGCTTGCTTCGCTCGTTTCGTACTCGGTCTTGATTTGGCTTTTCGATTCATCACTGGCAGAGTTGATGGGCTTGACGATGTCATTGAGGTGTTTCGTCGAATATATTTGTTCCTTTACAAACAGCATTTCGTCAAAATATTCCCAGTTGGTCGAAGTCTTTTGCTTACCATTCATGAGACCTTTGTGGACTTTTTTCAACTCGCCTCGAAACGTGTCTCGCAAGCCTTTCCATTTCAGTCTCACGGAATCGGCTGAAAGAAATAGTTTTATTGTTAGAAAATTTAAAACAAACAATTATGAAGATATATTTGCCTGAAAAGTTTTACTATTATTTTATTTATTTTTATTAATATTTTATTTTATTTTAAAAAATTTTTTTTTTTAAAGGATGATTATATTATATTGCATTGTGTTTATATGCCAACTTTGGGAGAAAACGAGTTTTTCTTTTCTGTGCAGGTGAAAAATAATTATTTTGTTTCAAACCTTTTTTTTTTGCCTATACTGCTTCTAAACTTTGCCTTTTCTTTATACGGACAAATATACTACAAACAAAATAATATGATAACAAGGGGGTTCAGGATGCAGCCCTGTCTAGCCACAATTACAACCGAAAAATATTGGATTTTGCAAGAAATCACATCTGGTCTGGACAAGATTGAGCTAAAATCTTGTTTTTGGATGAGTCAGAGTTTTGTTTGAGGTCTTTTGAGGCTGAGAATAGGGTTTGGATAAGAATAGGAGAGCGATATATCCCTTGGGCAGGTGTTTCTATGGAAAGTCGCCCAAAACTTCATCTAAGTGAAATACAAGTGTAGATTTCAATGACTACTTAAACCTAACAAAACAATTTCTTTAAATAAAAATCAAAAAGTTAATTTCTCCTTACTTAGAGAATTTACGAAATATTTACAAGTGCAGGGAGAAAGAACAGATAGCAAAAACTTCTAAAAAAAAAAATATTTAAAATTTTTTTAAAAAAGTATATGAGGTATTTTACAGGTAAACAATTAAAGTAAGATATTTTAAAACTTAAACTATATGTTTACATTCATGTGAAGAGGAGACATTTTTGTACTTTCCATTTTTTATTTACTGAATTTAATTTACAACTTTTCAACTTATTAATCTGTTCTATATATAATATCTATATATATAATATCTAGAAAGTAGATTATTTTTTTTAATAGATTTTTTAAATGACTCTATACTTTGGCATTTTTGAATTTCAGAGAGAGGGAGAGAGAAAGAGAGAGAGAGAGAGAGAAAGAGAGAGAGAGAGAGAGAGAGAGAGAGAGAGAGCGAGAGANTCTCTCTCTCTCTCTCTCTCTCTCTCTCTCTCTCTCTCTCTCTCACTCACTCACTCACTCTCTTTCTCCCTCTCTTTCTGTCTGACTCTCTCTCTCTCTATCTATCTATCTCACTCACTCACTCACTCTCTCTCTCTCTTTCTTTCTCTATTGCTCTCTTTCTCTCTCTCTCTTCCTGACACACTCACTCTCTTTTCCAACCTACGTATCTACCAGTGTATCTTTCTGATTTTTAAATTTCTTTTTCTTGCAACTAAACACGCTATTTAAAAAAAAATTTAAAATTAAAAAAACAGTAGATTTAAAATATTGTTACCACCCGATTAAGTTAATGTTATTAAAAAATAAAATTTAAATTATAATTTTTTTTATACAAGATTGATTCATATGTAAATAAATAAATAAAGCATCCTATAATTATAGATCTTAGATCTTTTTAGGTGTTGGTAAGGGAGGAAATTTTTGAAATGGTCTAAACGTGAAAAAAAGGTCGTTTCTGGGTTTAGATTTTAATGTTTCTAAGCCGAGTAGTTTTTCTGTTTAAAATTTTAAAAAATTTGAATTTTGAGAAATAGCACTGGGGGAAAACAGGAAAATTGGTTAGGTAATTCTTTGGTGGGTCAAGAGATGGCGCACCACGTGGCAAAAAAGGGGGCGAAGGATCTCGCATGCAGGACGGCATTAATGGATGAAATGCGGCCACGTGATCGCACACCGCATATCAACAGACGCACGCCTTCACGCGACCGTCGAACACTGAACAATTTCGACTTACGATCCGCGCCGAGACGAGCTGCGACGTCGTCCCACAGGACCATCGTGACGCTCCTGTCGTGGTAATAGGCGTGTTTCCTGTCCCAGAGAGGCTGCCTAGCTTTCACGCCTCGGATCAGTTTGACAACGTCCATCTCGGAAAGGACCGGTGGGAAATTTTCGCCTCGAATGTTCAAAAAACCAGGGGATTTTCCGAGCAAGGAAAACTGGATGATATCGAATTCAGCAATAAGGCTTCTCTGCGCATACTATCTGCGCTCGCTTCGCTCACTCGCCTTCCCTTCTCTCATCCCTTCCCTCTGCATTGATCCAGTCCCTCGTCTTCTCTGTCCTTTCGGCGACCCAATTCTTTAAGTGTTCACCCTAAAACCCCTTTATTAAAAAAAAAAAATCTATCCTTTATCGAAGCCAAAGAACCAAATTTTGAAGTACTCAAATTCCTCCCCAGCCAAGAAATCAGAAAAGCTGTCCAAAAGTTCCTTAAAAAAACCGTAGAACATTTTGCCATTGTGATGTTCAAAGAAGAAAGCATACTAGAACTGACGAATAGTAATTATCTGATAATCGTAGCACGCCTGTTATCACATCGACCCGAGATAAACATGCCGACAGTCACTGAATATGGTTCGAGTACAAATGTAGAAAGAATAAACTTTTCTGTTATGCACAAGTAGAAGAAGATTAGTTAATTAAATGAGCAGGAATGATACGACAGAAACGTGCAGACAGTCACTGAATATAAAAAGTTTCAAATGCTTGTTCCTTCAATTTTATATCTGCAATATCCTTCAATATTATTATATGTCCTGTTGACATCTACAAAAAAAAAATTTCTAGCGTTTGTATTGGGTACTTGTAGAACATTAGTTAATGATTAAATTCACTAATTTCGTGGTCGGCTTGACCAATTAATATATTATAAATACTTAAGGTTTTTAGTTGAGATAAAAAGTGGGACGAGCGGGATTCGAACCCACGATCTTCGGCTTGATACGCCACTGTTAGTTAATGAATTGAAAATGGACAGTCTCGAGGGAATTATGCGGACAGTCACTGAATATGGTTCGAGTACAAATCTAGAAAGAATTTTAAACTTTTGTGTTATGCACAAGTAGAAGAATATTAGTTAATTAAATGAGCAGGAATGACACGACAGAAACGTGCAGACAGTCACTGAATATAAAAAGTTTCAAATGCTTGTTCCTTCAATTTTATACCCGTATTTTATTATCCGGACGTCTACAAGAAAAGATTTCCAGCATTTGTACTGTGTATTAGTAGAACAATAGTTAACGACGAAGAAATTATGCGGACAGTCACTGAATATGGTTGAAATCTCAAAAGCAAGTGTTTCTTGTTTTGTAGCAGCGTTTTTCAATCCTGCTGCACAAATCTAGAAACGATTTTACACTCTTGAGTTCTTAACCAGTAGAAGAATGTTTAGTGAATTGAAAATGGACTGATACGAGGGAAATATGAAGACATTCACTGAATATAGTTGAAATATCAAAAGCTTGTGTTTCTCGAATTTTGTAGCTGCGTTTTTCATTCCTGCAGTACAAATCTAGGAAGGGTTTTAAAATCTTGTGTTGTTAACCAATAGAAAAATGGTTAATGAATTGAGAATGGAATGAGACGAGAGAAACAGGCAGACAGCCACTGACAATGACGACGTTTCAGAATTCAATTTTATACCCGGTTGAAATATACAAGAAAAGATTTCCAGCGTTTGTATTGTGTACTAGTAGAAGAACATTAGTGAATGAATTGAAAATGGGCTGACACGAGGGAATTATGCGGACAGTCGCTGAATATGGTTAAAATATCAAAAGGCTTGTGTTTCTTGGTTTTTGTAGCAGCGTTGTGCTATTCTGGTGTAAAAATCTAGCAACTATTTTAAACGTTTTTGTTATATTCAAAAAGAAGAACAATAGTTAATTAATAGAGAATGGAATGACACGAGAAATACATGCAGACAGTCATAGAACAAGACGAAGTTTCAAAAGCTTGTTCAATAATTCATGATAACATTATCTCCCTGTTAAAAACTTAAAAAATGATAATAATCATAAAACGTACACTCGGTTGATTGGTTTTTAATTAATCGGAATAGTGGAATAAAATTACTAAAAGACAAAACGGTCAACACGTGCAGCCAGGCACGCACGCATTCGAGAGTACGTGCACACGTAAGATTTGAAAAATGTAAAAGTTTTAATCTCAATTTTAAAATTATACAAAAGCGGTAAAATGTTCGTTTTTGTTGAACAGAAGAATCCAGCCTTCAGTTAAATCATGCCTGGAATAAATATTTGTTGATTAAAAATCATAAGTGTCTAGTTCAACGACTTCATTGTCTTCCAGTGATGCTTCCTGCATGACCATTTCTACATTTTTATTGATCGATCACCATTGAAAAATAACAATTTTATGTTATTGTTAAATATTGAATATAACAAATTGTCTTGAAAAGGTTCATTTTTTTTTCATCCTGGCTGTCCTTCAGGAGTGAGACGTTCCGGCCCATGTGGAGGCTTTTAGGCGAGAATAGGCGGACCCGTAGATAAACGATTTTTATCAAACCAATGTCAAGCCCCTTTATCTAGGTTAAACACTTCTGTGCGTGTCTGGAGACGAAGACGGTTTTCTATTTATACCCGGGATTGTTTAAATAAAATTTTTATTTATAATTTTGGTCTTATATAGGATTTTCTATTATGAAACGTGATATTTTGTTTATGTTGTATTTTGTGGTTATAATGATCCTGAATTGACTAGTACTGCAAAGACAACGACAACAACAGAGCCTCAACAACATGAATTGAACATTTCTGCAAAAACACTGTGTACAACAAAGAACAGGCCACCCCTGAAAGTGAGGTTAATCTTAAAAACATTTAACTAGATCTCAATTAACAATAATTGACTATTACGTAACGACTCTGATGCCAATACAGTCCTAAATACCACCAACATTGACCACCAACTTTATCATTGCTTTAAAAACACGTACGACTGATATAAAAAAAAACCTCAAGCGACTACGAAGACGGCGAATTGACTATTACAACAAAGACATTATATTCGACAAAAATCTCATAATCGCTAAGTTGACAAATATTACAAATTCAATTCTAACAAAAAATATCAAAAAGCACCTCAATTACCTATAATTGACTATCATCGTAATGATTCCGTCATTAATAAAGACTTGACAATAACCAAATTTATTACTTTTACAAAGAAAATAGCTTCGACAAATCTAACTACATAAATTAAGCAAGTATTGACCATACAAAATGAACGTACCCAACAAAGCAAAACCAACCAAACAATAAGCAAATAATGTATTGACTTTCACACCTACAACATAAGCTAAACTTGACTAAAACTACAAAGACGACGTGCCAAACGAAGTCATAAATGCTTTATGGACCATTTATAAAAAAAAAGTTTATCAAATTCATTATTATTATCAAAACATGAAATAACCTTGCATTGATCATTATTGAGCAAAGAAATTGACTCTAACAAAAACAAAAAATTTCATCGGATTGATTATTAATACCAAAATATAAACGAATCTTGACAACAAAGACAATGACGCCAGGAAAAACACTGATTCCAACAAAATCAAAAGTTCTCTTCATTTTGATTATTATTACATAAGCACAAGCAATCCTTATATTGATCTTTACTACAAAAACACTGAACCTCAACAAAAACAAAAGCTTTTATAACATTGATTTTTTATTTCAAATCATTAAAAAAATAAGGCACCGACCACAGCAAAGTCTCTGACCCCTACAAAAACAAAAACTGTTAAACTTTCGCTTGTTATTACAAAAACATAAACAAACATTGTATTCATTGATTAATTGATCTTTACTACAAAGACACCGACCTCAACAAATATACTGTCCTCCCTACAAAGACAAACACTTCCATAGTGTTGATTATTATTACAAAAACAAAAACCTTGTATTGATTGATTAATTGATCTTTACAAAAAGGCACCGACCTCAGCAAAGATACTGACTTTCCTACAAAAGCAAAAACTTTCATCGTATTGGTTATTATTACAAAAAAATAAACAAAACTTTTATTGATCTTTATTACAAAGACACTATCTCAACAATAGCTTTCGCCTTGTTGATTATTATTACAAAAACATAAACAAACGTTATGTTAAAACTTACTAAAAAGACACCGACCACAGCAAAGACACTGACCTTCTATAAAGACAAAAAGTACATCGTATTAATTATAACATAAACAAACCTTTTATGATTAATTAATTGATCTTTACAAAAAGGCACCGACCTCAGCAAAGATACTGACTTTCCTACAAAAACAAAAACTTTTATTGTATTGGCTACTATCAAAAAAAAAAAAAGTGTATAGATTGATTGATTAAATGTTCTTTACTACAAAGACACCCTCTTCAAAAGAAGTTTTTTTATCGTATTGATTGTTATTGAAAAAACATAAACATACCTTATATTGATTGATTAATCAATTAATTAATGAATTAATCTTTAGTACAGAAGCACCCACCTCAGCAAAAGCACTGATCTTCTATAAAGACAAAAATTTTCATCATATTGATTGTTATTTCAAAAACATAAACAAACCTTGAATTTAACATTACTACAATGACATCAACCTCATCAAAGAGTCTGACTTCCTAAAGTCAAAAACTTTCTTCGTATTGATATTGTTATAAAAGCATAAACAAATCTTTTGTCGATCTTTACATTATGACAGAAAAAGCGTCACGGCAAAAGACACTGATCCCCAACAAAAACAAAAACTTTCATCGTATCGTCGTAAAACACCGACCTGATTTTGTAAAAAAAATTGAATTTTTATATATAAACGCAATTTTTTTGTTAACGTTACCTATTTTAATAAAGTTTGGCATTGAATTGATTATTGTCAATTGAGATATTCCATTAACGAAATGATTAGCATAGAATATACGAAATCCAAACAATCAAGAAATAAGTCATAGACAAAACTTTTATTGGCCAAAACTACAAAGAGACCAACCCCCGGAAAGAATTTTACTTAGCACAAAGACTCTAACAAAACCAAAAACTTTCATCATATTGATTATTAATACCAAAATATAAACGAATCTTGACTTGATCTTAGCAACAAAGACAACGACGCCAGGAACAACACTGATTCCAACAAAATCAAAAGTTCTCTTCATTTTGATTATTATTACCTAAGCATAAGCAATTCTTATATTGATCTTTACTACAAAAACACTGACCCTCAACAAA